GTCCACCGTGTGAGGCCGAGGTGACTCTGAAGTGGCCACAGTTTGGTTCACCGGCCGAAGGTCATCAATTAACCTCACCTTCTCTCCCTGAGCCAGTCCAAACCGCCGGGACACCACCGACCCACTCGGCAACTCACAGAGCGGTATTGGCCCATGGAGCCAACCTTGCTGCACTTCATGCTCGGTCTTGCTTAAGACCACCCTGTCCACCTCCAGAAATTGCGGTCTCGTCTGGGCAAGCGCCTCAGCCGTTATGGCAGCAGCAGACTCTCGCAATTGCTGCATGGACATGGTGGCAGGTCTATTCACGCTGTTAAACAGGCCTGAACATTCTACCTCCCCAGTAAGGCTGACCCCTGACGTGATCAAGCTGAAGACTTCTGGGTCCGGGTACTCAAACTGGTGCAAGAGCTCACGCCACAGAAGAAGCCTCTTTGGGGCAAGGATTTTTGCAACCTCTGGATGTAAACTCTGCTTGAATGCCCGTTCCTCCTCCTCCAGCGCGTGTGCACGGGCGGCCCACTGCCTTACCAAGTTGGTTCTTTCCTTAGCCAGCGCCTCCGGCTTACTTTGCGCACACTTTTCGATGGCACGCGCAAGGGGGCTTGGCAAGTCTGAAGCCGCCAACCCTGGGTGACTGGCACGCAACGCTGCTTCAATAAACTCACTCGGGGAGTATGGGATCCCCCACACTGAGACACAAAGAGAGTCCCCTTCATTACCCGAAGAATGCAAATGCAGGAGCTGCGCACCGGAAGGCAAGCAACGCAGCTCGCACCGACACGCTGAATGAAGTGTGACAGGGGCATCGAGCCTTTCCATGCGCAAGCAGGGCGGCTTGAAAAAATTGCGATGGGGCCCGGACAACAATCACACGCTTGTGCTCTGGCACGACGGGATGACTTTTGCTGGCCTTTGGCTGCAAGCCTGTGGATGCACGCAACTGGTGATAATCGATGCCAGGGCTGGGCTGCTGAAAGATTTGCACAAGGGTCGCGGCGACTTGCTCGCAAAAAGGAATTGGATAAACTGCCTCCTCGGACGTGGCCCAGCCTGAGGATGACAATCCCCATGGAAGGTGATCCGGGCAATTAGGGCAGCTGCGACAGAATTTTGCAAATGCAGGATGTGTGAAGGCAAGAGCTGTGTGCTTGGGCCTTCGGCCTCCATAGGCGCATGCCTGAAAAGAAGTGTAATTAAAAAGATCACGTGTGCGCAGCCATGCGGTTGTTCTCCAGAACAAGGACCCACGAGGATTTTCCACTATGTGGATCACCCCACGCTTGGTGGTTTCTTTGACAGAATCTGCCAAGGCATGATACAAGCAATTGGCTGCTTCAACCCAGGCCTGCTCCACTGGACTCAAGTTCTCCACCCCATCTGGGGATTCCAAGGTTCTCAAGGGCCTGGGCGCATTGGGGATATCCAAGGGTACGCATCTCGCCAAGGAGGCGGTGTCTTTGTCTTTGGAACGCAGA